GAAGATGTTTCATTAGAGCTTTAAGTCACACGTGCAATAAAAAGAAAAGAGGAAACTAATTGAAGAACACCAATAAAGAAAAGTTATAGATCTTTAATTTAGCAAAAAAACAAAAAAAGGCTATAGATTTTTTACCAAAAAAAAAGTTATAGATTGATACAGGTCCGGTTTTAGGGGAGTGCAACATGTGCACTTGCACAAGGCCCCACTTTTTTTTCCTGATTTTTTGTTGCAATTAAAGGCCTAAATTTACTAAATTATACATAAAAGGCTTTAAAATTTCAAATATATCAGATATACACCAACTCTTTTGTATACATTTTATTATTTGGCACAAGGCCCAATTCTCATTGATACATCATAAAATATGAGAAAAGAGAATTGCTTTGTGACAACTCCCAAATTTACGATTTTTTAATCTCATAACAATGATATATACACAGTATAATTTTCTTGCACTGAAGATCTCAAGCATAAACACATGAACTTGTTTTGACAAAGGCTTGTGGCATTGTATTGGGCTTAGAGCAGGATCAATGATCAATGGTGGGTTCTTAAGCAGTTTTTAAAATATAAAATTATTAAAATTTAAGTAAAAGGAAGAAAGAAAGTGTTTTTGTGGGGTGTATTGAAATATAAAATTTGAGTAAAAAGAAGAGATAGTGGGTGTGTTTAAGTATAAAATTAATAAAAATTGAGTAAAAGGAAGAGAGAGTGCTTAAATAAGAACTTTTGGAGAGTGTTTTTAAAATGATGAGAGAGTGTTTAAATACAAAATTAATAAAAGTTGAGTAAAATGATGAAAGAGAAAGTAGAAAAGTTGAGTAAAAGAAAGAAAGAGTGTGTGATTTAATAATTTTATATTTAAGAATTTGGTTAAGAACCTTGCATTGATGATGCTCTTATTTATAGGTGTTCTAGTAGCATCGTATATCCTCTCATTTAAGAGTGCATCTCCAACCATTACACAAAATTTGGTGTAATTTTTACACCAAATTTAGTGTTTTGGTGTTAAAAAAAAATTTCATCTCCAACCATAACACCAAATTTTACACTAAAAAAA